CAGTTGTACAGTAAGTGAATTTAGATTGTCTCTTGAGTTCACTGGACCTTTATTACTCTCATAACCTCAAGTTGATAGACTAAATGTTGTCCAATATTTAAATAATCGTATTTGTTTAACTATGTATACCCTAAAATGAAATAAAACTATTTTTTGAAACTACAAACAATTCAAACAAAACTATAGTACTTTCAGGAACAGCCACAAAGGATTTCATTTTATTTAATTTTAGAATAAATATCAAGGCAATGAGGCACTAACCCTATAAGAAAACCTTATACATAAATAAAACTAGATAATCAAAGAAAAAAAATTTTAAGGTAAAATAGTTTTCCTTTTCACCTAAACACAGAATAATTTTAGTGGGCATCAACAAGGAACAAACAGAAAAGGCAACAACATATGAGACATGGGAGATGTTGCCTTTATAGAAGTAAATTGTGGGGGACCACATGACCAGGGCAGCACCAGGGCGAGTTAGTAGGCACAGTCAACAAAACATCAACTCTGTCACATACTATGTAACCTTGAACAAGTTAGTTAACTTCTCTGAGCTTCAGTTTCCCAGCCTATGAAATAGGGACAATAGTATCTATCTTATGTCATATGTAAACTATCTTAAGTATATGGCACTTAGTAGAGATCAATAAATGATAGCTATTAAGAGATAAACCTGTATTTTAACTCTAGTGTAAATATATGTACGTGGTTTTATTGAATCATCCTCAAATTCCTTTTCAATAACCACCAACACAACAAAATTTTGTTCTACATTGTATACAAAAGGAACTAAAGATTTCTGATCTAATTATACAGCTTTTTCTTTTTTTCTGGCCAGGCCTGCAGCATATGGGGTCTTAGTTCCCCAACCAGGGATCAAACCCATGCCCCCTTCAGTGGCAGCTCAGTCCTAACCACAGGACAGCCAGGGAATTCCCTATATAGCTTTTAAATTGCAACTTACTTTCATTCTGCAGGATGTTAATGGCATCATCCATAATGCAGTCTGGTGAAAATCCTGCAGTCTTTGACAGTAAACCCAACAATGATGCAATTTTCAGTCTCACAGATGGATCATTCTCCTGAAACAAAAGAAGCTATTGTTACACTGATGCTCTACTCTCAGGAACATGGGAAACTAATATCTCAAAACAGTCTCAACAAGTATTTCTTAAGCTTTATTTCTGAAAAATTAACTTTATATGCTTTGGGGGCAGAAAGTTTTTCTCAACCTGTATGTTACACCTAAATACTGCAAAGTGAATGGGAATATTTTATGCCTTCCTGATGTCATTAACTTCTAATGAGATGTGTGCTTTTGGGATTAAAAGTACCTTTCCTCCACTCTGCAGTAACATTAGACATGAGTTGCAGCAACTTGGACCACCAACACTGCCAGCACTGGGCACTCAACACTGCTGTCAGCACCACTGTTTTTGGAGCCCCAGAAATTGGGTGCTGCAGCTACTACTGCTATCACCAGAAAGAAGTTTTCGTTCTACCTGTGTTTTTTTGGATCACCAGATCCTGATCAGAAGTCTGGGGCAGGTGATGGGACTTCCCAGGTGGTCCAGTGGTTAAGACTGTGCTCCCAATGCAGGGGGCCCGGGTTCAATCCCTGGTCAGGGAACTAGATCCCACATGACGCAACTAAAAATCCTGCATGCAGCAACAAAGATCCCGTGTGCCACAAGTAAGACCCGGTGCAGCCAAATAAATAAATAAATAAATATTTTAAAGAAAAGTCTGGGGCAGGTGAATCATTGTCTGGGTCTAGGTCCTGGGTCTGGGGCCCAGGGCAAGAGAGACTAAGACATGAGTTAGCGTGGCCCATTTAGCTTCAATATCGGGAGGTGGTCTCTAATTTGCACCAAGATTCCTAGGGTGAGAAACTTCCCCCAAAGACCGAAAGGAACATGTCTTTTTGTTCATCACCATATCGCAAGTATGTAGCACAATATCTGGCACTAAGTAGACAGATGTTCAATAAACATAGGTAAAATGAAAAAAAAAAAAAGTACCTTGCCAATGCTAAGATTAAGCAAGCATTTCTGTCCCAAGGACAAAATTACTTAAATGGATGCTCAAAAGATGAAGTGCCTTCTAGATGTGACCCCAGTTTCTAAGGAGGTAACTGGGTAGAACAAGGCAGCCTGAAGCAGGAGAAGGGACAAAAGATATGCAGTCAGAAGACCCTGAATCCTGGCACACCACTTACCATAAGTTCAACCTTGGGAAAGTCATTTTCTTGGGAACTTAAGCTGTGGAGTGCAGCAGAAGGAGAAAGGGCTTTGAAATTGGCCAGATTGAGGTGTGAAGCCTGGACTCACTATGTAATAGCTATATGTCTTGAACAGGCTAATTAACTTCCTAAGCCTCATCTGTGAAATGGGGCTAATAACAACCTCAAACGGCTACTGAGAGGAAAACAACTCACACAGAAATGGGCATACAGAAGGCAATCAAATATTAATGCCCCTCCTTCCTTCCTCTATGATCATCAGTCCTTTCATGTGGAGGGTAATAAAACCTGAACTGAATCCCTATGAATATGATACTCCGATAGGTACCATAAAGAGCAAATAAAAAACACGTGAAAAATAAGGATGCAATCACCAAGCCCAGAATATGGGAAATTCCATGGGTAAAATGCCTAGTTTTTAAACAATAAATATCATGGGAAAGAAAAGGTGGTGGGGGGAGGGAATGCTATAGATTAAAAGAAACTGAAAAGGACAGCTAAACTAACCAAATGCAATGTGTGAATCTTGCTCAAACAAACCAACTGTAAAAAGACTTTAAGACAATCAGTGAAAGCTGAACATGGACTAGGTATTATACACTATTAAGGATTATTGTTAAGTGTCATTTTTTTTAAGTCCTAAAAAAAGTCCTAATTTGTTAAACACAGATAATTAAGTGTTTATAGGTAAAATGATATGTTGTCTGGGATTTGCCCCACCCCCAAAAAAGTAGGGGAATGAACCAAACAAGAAGAGCAAAATGTTGATAATTGTTGAAGCTGGATGAGGAACACTGGAAGGCTCATATTATTTTCTCTCCTTTTGTGTATGTTTGTAAATTTACAAAAAAAAAAAAGTTAACTTTTTAGAAAAATCACATGAAAGTACTTATTCTATTTAAAATGCAAATTAATTTACTCATTCAACAAACATTCAAGAAGTACCTACTATGTGCCGAGCATCATTCTAGCTGCTGGGGATACAACGGTGAATAAAACAGAAGCAATCCCTGCTCTCATAGCGCTTATATTCAAGTGGATAGGACTGGCAAAAGAGGGAATCCTCTGGTGGTCCAGGGGTTAGGACTTGGTGCTTTCACTGCCATGGGCCCAGGTTCAATCCCTGGTCGGGGAACTATGATCGTGCAAGCCGTCTGGCTCGGCCAAAAAGAATAAAAAATTTAAAAATAAAGACTGGCAAAAGAAAATATGTAATTTCATATGGTAAGCATTCTGAAGAAAAACGACGTGTGTAAGAGGTTAAAGACTAATGTGGAGAGGCTGTTATAGACAGGACAGTGAGGAAAGTCCACTCTAAGGATTTGACTTTTGAACGGACACTTAACTGAGTGAGACAGAGAGCAATAGGAAGTTTTAGGGAAGCAGCATTCCAGGCAGAAGAATGTTGCAAACCCAGAATATGGAAGATTCTGAAATGCTGCATTTAAGAATGCATACATATCTGTTACAGTGATTCTCTCCAGAGTATTCTCTGGAGAGTGTATTTTGTTTTCTAACTTTTTTATTTGCAGAGGCAAGTCTCATTCTTTATTTTATACACTTCTATACTGCTTGAATTTGTTACAATAAATGCTACAGTTGGGGTTTTTAAAAGAATGTTAAATTTAAAACTCCACACAAACATTCATAACCCTTCAAAAGCTTCCAGTTTCCTATGGAAAGAAGCCTGAGCTGCTGAGCATGCCACAACGGCCTGCCAAGACTGTCCTGTATGTCAGCTCCCACAATTCCCCACCAAGCTTGATGCCATGAGGCTTCAAGTTCCTGTACTTCTGCTCAGATTGCTCCTCTGCCTAAATTGCTCTCCCTGCCTCCCACAGCCACTCCCTCCTGCCCCTCAGGTATCAGCAACCCCAGGAAGTTTGTCTCTGATGCCTGAACTGGACAAGAGTGCCCTTCCCCTTGGACCACCCAAGCAGCCTGGTGCAACCCTGTATTATGCACCTCACCAGTGCACTGTAATTATCATAGTGTATTATGTGATTGTGTCTGTTTCCCCAACCAACCTGTGAGCTGCTAAAGTGACAAGCAGAATGCCCAGAAAGCACTTCGTACATTCTGATAAAAATAAAGGGAAGAGTATAGGAAAAGGAAAAGCCACGTGTCCTACTTAATTCACTCAGTGAATTAAATAATTCATCCATCATCTGTTCAACAGGATTTCCTGAGTACTTACAAGGAGCCACTGTGTTTGGCCATGGGGATACACTGCCCTCATGGAACTTTAAGTTTTAATGGGCAAGGCAGACAATTGTCAAGTAATGTCCAAATACATAATTACAAAGTTGTACTGTAAAGGAAAAATAAAGAGTTCTATGAAAGCATATAACAAACACAGACTTTAATTTGAGGCAGAGAGAAAAGAATAAATGAATGCTCTCAGTCATGAAAGAACACCACAGCTTCCAGAACTGAAAAAGGGTGCAATGTGGCTAAAATGTAGACTACCATGAAATGCGGCTACAGAGGCAAGCAGGTGCCACAACTTTTTGAGAATTATGGCAAGTGTACTCTGATAGTGCCCAGAAGGTAGCAGGAATTCAATACATATTTGTTCACTGTTGAATAAACAAATGAATAGTCTTTGTCCTAAGAACAATAAAAATCCTTTGAATAACTATAACGAGGAGAGTGACATAAACAGATTCAAATTTCTGAAATACCAAACCAGCCTCAATATAATGATTGGATTGGAAGGGGCAAAAGTAGCCAGAGAGACAAATTAAGAGTAATTGCGGTGCTTGCTTTGGCAGCACATATACTAAAACTGGGACAATAGAGAGAAAATTTGCATGGCTCCCATGCAAGGATGACATACAAATTCATGAAGCATTCCATATTTCTGAAAAAAAATTTAATCCTTTGAGCAGCGAAAAATAAAAAAAGGAGTATTTGATTTAAAAAATTATAGAACAGCAAAATAATCTGAATGGTTCCAAAGAATTATTCATCTTTCCATTCATTCTTTTAATAAATTAAATAAAACTTAATACGCGAAAAAAAAAAAAAAAAAAGAGTATACCGCTATAGTCCAGCAAAAGGCAATGCCAAGACTCTCACGTTAGGGGCAGGCTAGATAATACAGAACAACCTTCCCGCTAAGGAAAACTAGAATAGTATTACGGATGCCAAAAAGAAAAACATATGTGTGTGACTTCTCAACGGAAACAATACAATGATATATTTAAAATACTAAAAACAAACAAACAAATAAAGAAAAACAGCCAATCTAAAATTCTACACACAGCAAAAACATCATTCAAGAAGGGAGGTAGGGGCTTCCCTGGTGACACAGTGGTTAAGAATCCACCTGCCAATGCAGGGGACACTGGTTCAAGCCCTGGTCCAGGAAGATCCCACATGCCATGGAGCAACTAAGCCCATGCACCACAACTACTGAGCCTGTGCTCTAGAGCCTGTGAGCCACAACTACTGAAGCCCGAGCACCTATAGCCCGTGTTCCACAACGAGAAGCCAACGCAATAAGAGGCCCACGCACCGCAACGAAGAGTAGCCCCCACTTGCCACAACTAGAGAAAAACCTATGCACAGCAACAAAGACCCAAAGCAGCCAAAAATAAATAAAGTAAAATAAAATAAATTAAAAAAAAAAAAAAAAGAAGGAACGTAAAGGGAATTCCCTGGCAGCTCAGTGGTTAGGACTCAGCACTTTCACTGCTGTGGCCCAGGTTCAGGGGCTGGTTGGGGAACTAAGATCCCACAAACCATGCAGCATGGCCAAAAAAAAAAAGAATGGACGTAAAACTTAAAACTTTTCCATACATACAAACACAAAGAATTTGTCACTGAGTGCCACCAGTAAACTCACAATAAATGGAAATATCAGAGGGTATTCATCAGCCAAAAGGAAAATAATCCCAGGTGAATAAACAGTCACAGATACAAGAAGGAAAGAAAAGCAATGATAAATACATGTGGGTAAATGATAAATACATAGGTAAACTTAAATGAATATTGCCTGTAGAAAATAACAATGTCTTCCAGAGTGAAAAATGGAGAATTAAAACATAAAACTTCATTCACACATGTAAGTCAGGAAGGTGGATAAATGAAGTTAAAGTCCTCACATTGTTCAAAATAGAAACTGTACCATTTAACACTTGACTTTGATCAGTCAAGAATTCATGTAATAGCTAGGTTATAACCAGTAAAAGAAGTGTAAAAGAATGTATAACTCCCAAGCTAATAAAAAAGGGGTGGAGGAGAGAATTTTTTTAAAAGAGTCAATGCAAAAGATGGCAAGAAATGAGGGAAAAGAAAAGAACACTGAGCAGGTAAGACAAATAGAAGGCATTTAATAAGAGGGTAGATTTAAACCGGCATATATCAATAAACACATTAAATTTAATGAACTAAAATGCTCCAATTGAAAAACAAACACTGTCAAGTGAAATTTTTAAAAAACTAACTACATGTTTTTTACATGGGTCATAAAATAAAATGTTATAAAAAAGAGGAAAATAAAAAGTAGAAATAGGTATACCATGCAAACTTTAATCAAGAGATAGTTGGTATCATAATATTAATATCAAACAAAGCCGTTATATGCTGATATGATTATTTGTAAAGAATCCAAAATCTACACATAATTTATTAAAATTGTTAAATGAGCTTAGCAAGGTTGTTAGATATAGGATTTAATAAGCAAAAATCAATTGCATTTCTGAATATCCATTCTGTACTGTTAGAAAATAAAATTTTTTAAACATATCATTTACAATAACAAAATATTAACTATCTAGGAATAACTAACAAAAAGATGTACAAAAGGACTTGCCTGGTGGTGCAGTGGTTAAGAATCCGCCTGCCAATGCAGGGGACATGGGTTCGAGCCCTGGTCCGGCTCAAAATTTATAAAGAAATTAAAAGACCAAGAACAATTAATATATTCTTAAAGAAGAGGAAGGTGGGAGAAGTTGTCCTACCAGATGTCAAGATTTATTATAATGTTATGCTAAGACAGCATGGTATTGGCATAAGAATAGACAAATGGAACAGTAGAAGAGACAACCCTGAAACATACCCACCCATATACAGACACTTAATTTACCAGAAAGGTGGTACTGCAAAACAATGGGGAAAAGACATTCTTTTCAATAAATGGTGCTGGGACATTTGGACTTCCATACACCAAAGCATCACACACACAAATCAATTCCACGTATGAAAAACAAATAATAAGCTTCTAATAATAATGTAGCAAAATGTCTTAATGAGCTCAGGGTAGGTAAACCCTTCTTATATCAATCAGACAAGAAAAGCACAAAATATAACTCAAAAGACTGTCAAATTGGGTTACATTAAGAACTTATTTTCATCAAAATACAACATTAAGGGACTAAAAAGGGAGAAGATATTTGTAACATGTATAACCAAAGAACTTGTACCCAGAATATAAAGAATTCCCACAAAGCAATAAGGGAAAAAAAAAAAATTTGTAAAATAGGCAAGAGACATACATAGGTATTACCCAAAAGAATATCCAGTTAAACGTATTAAAGTTGCTCCCCTTTATAGTAATCTAAGAAATGCAAATTAAAGCCACAGTGACTACACATCCACAGGAATTGTCAAAATGAAGAAAATCGGGCTTCCCTGGTGGCACAGTGGTTGAGAATCTGCCTGCCAATGCAGGGGACACGGGTTCGAGCCCTGGTCTGGGAGGATCCCACATGCCGCGGAGCAACTAGGCCCGTGAGCCACAACTACTGAGCCTGCGCGTCTGGAGCCTGTGCTCTGCAACAAGAGAGGCCGCGATAGTGAGAGGCCCGCGCACTGCGATGAAGAGTGGCCCCCGCTCGCCGCAACTGGAGAGAGCCCTCGCGCAGAAACGAAGACCCAACACAGCCAAAAATAAATAAATAAATTTACTTTAAAAAAAAAAAAGAAGAAAATCAATTGCAGCTATTGGAAAGTATGTGGAACAAGTGGAACTCTCACACAGTGCTAATACGAGTGTAAACTGGTATTACCACTTTGGAAAACAGTTGGCTCAGTAATTCCACTCCAGGGTATATACTACACAGAAATGCAAGCCATGCACACCAAGAGACTTGTATAAAAATGTCTGTGGTAATGTTTCTTATAATAGCTAAAAACTGGAAACAGTCTAAATGTCCATCAATAATAGAATGAATAAATAAATTATGGTATACTCATACAATGAAATCTATTTTTTTTTGCGGTACGCGGGCCTCTCACTGTTGTGGCCTCTCCCGTTGCGGAGCACAGGCTCCGGACGCGCAGGCTCAGCGGCCACGGCTCATGGGCCCAGCCGCTCCGCGGCATGTGGGATCCTCCCGGACCGGGGCATGAACTCGTGTCCCCTGCATCGGCAGGTGGACTCTCAACCACTGTGCCACCAGGGAAGCCCGAAATCTTATACTGTAGTAAAAATGAATGAACTACAGCTACAGTTAATAATATAGATAAATCTCACAGAATTTTGAGCAAAAGTCCCACAAAAAAAGATACATACAGAGAGGGAGGGAGGGAAAGAGGAAGGAAGGAAGGAAAGGAGTGGGGGTTTTTTACCAAATAAATCTGTATTTAGTACAAGTTTAAATGGTAAAAAAATTTTTTAAAGGAATTTTTTACCCCGAAAGTCAGGATAGTAGTGGTTATCTTTGGGAAAGGGGGGAGAAATAATTAGAAGGAGTTTTGAGGGGGCCTGTGGGAGGCTGATTATATTCCATTTCTTGACCTGGATGGTAGTCACATACGGTGTTCATGTTGATCAATAGGCTATATGAGGTTTTTCTACGTATTCTTTACATGTTATATTTCATAATAAAGCTTAAAAATATGATAGTTGGGACTTCCCTGGCAGTCCAGCGGTTAAGACTCTGCACTTCCACTGCAGAGGGTGCGGGTTCGATCCCCGGTTGGGGAACTAAGATCCTGATGCTGTGTGGTGCAGCCAAAAAATTAAAAAATAATAATAATAAATTTAAAATATGACAGCTGTTTATATTACTGAGGTAATGGAAACAGAGAGGTGATGGACTTAAGAGATACTTAGAAGGTAAAATCAACATGAGTTGGTGAGGAAGGGAATATGGAGAGAGGAAAGGGTGAGGGTTATATTTAGGATCCTTCTTGGGTTTCTGATTTAAGGGTCTATATTGTTGGTGGTACATTTCTTGCTATAAGGTAAACTGGAGAATGAAGGGAGATACCAAATTCAGTTTTGAACACAAATAAAAGCCAATTCTTTATGGACTTCAAATCATTAAAATAACATCATCAAATCAAGTAACTGTCTTTCAGAGACAATAGATTAGTCAAATACCCTAATTCTGCAGTGAAAGAGGACAGAAAAGATACATAGCCTTTCCATGGTCTGGAATGGAGTCACAGACCTCCAAACACAAGGGAGCAGCACAGAAAACAGAAGTACTAAGTCTAGCAGATAAGAGGAAGGCAAGGAGGCAAAAGAGTATCTGACCTAGTAACATTCTTTCTTCATCTAGATACTTTACTCAAGTTCTTCTACTTTCTGAAATTATCCCCTGGTACCCTTCATGCCTAAGCTTAAAACTGCCTTGGGGAAAGGCCTCTCTAATAATTGCTCTTCTCACATTAAAACTGTCCTTGTTCAGGCTTTCCTCATCTTGCTGTAGACTTATCAGTCTCCTAGTTGGTCACCCTAACTCCCGTCTTGCCCTCATTCAGTTCCTCCATCCTCCATACCGCCCCCAAGAGTGACATGTCTAAAACAAAAACCCCCAAGGTAGAATACAAGAACCTTCCATTAGACAAGATTTCTAGTCTAAAGTAAAGAGTTCTCAATTTAAAATCTACACCAGGGACTTCCCTGGTGG